AAGACGTGTGATAAGAAGAATGCTGTGGGTAATACAGAACTCAGTCATAGACCTCCGGCTTAGTACAACTGCTGAGAAGGAACGGATCTTCCCATAATATATATATTTGTTCACCAGTCTTTGGCAAATATAATACTGTATATATTACAATAAATTTAAAAACTTCACACAAGGGAAAGTTGTACAAGTAGCCCTGAGGTTAAAAGGGCAACTGGGACCAGAATTTCTGTTGCTAAGTGATGCAGTTGTGCAGCATAATGTCACGTGATGGTATTGCTTAGCAATAGTAATCCTGGAAGTCCTAGTTGCTGTTGTAACTCCAGAATTGCATAGGTGTTAAGCAAAGACTTCATGTGACTACAAGATGGGAAGAGGAGTCCCATGCAAGCAGGCCAGCAGGTGGGTGCTACGGAGCACAGGATGGTAGGAGGAGTTGTGGGCAGGAGCTACAGAGTACAGACAGGTGGGCAAAAATGCAGTGGGAATGGGAGTGACTTGTGACCTCCTGCTAACTTCCCTATTGAATTTGCTTGTTGAAAGCTGGCAGGAAAGGTTGCGAATGGTGATCATATGGCTGTGGGGCTGCTGCAATGGCTGCAACTTCAACAACTGGTCATAAGTTCTGTTCATTCGGTACTATTGTAACTTTGAATGGTTGCTGAATGAGTGATTGTAACCCAAGGACTATCTGCAGAAATGACCTGACCATAAGTACATATTTTTAAGAGAAAATTGATACCTAGTGTGAAACATGAGGAAAGACAGAGATTGCAAAGTAACTCTCTAAATAACAGACCCATCTGCAGGATCTTGGACTATTTGGAATGTTGTTATCATTTCATATTAAGATATTTAAACACATTTTAAAGGCTAACTACATAAAGATATATGTGGTGGATTAAAAAGTAGTGCAATTTTATAAATTTACATAGGTCTCATGGCAAATTAAAACATTCTCTTTTTATAGGTTAGCAGCTACTCTCCTATTTTATCCAAATGTAGCAGATACTATTTTTAAACATTACACCCACTACAGAACTATATAACTGTACCTATAAATAAAATTGCTAGAAGACAAACATTTGTGTTTGTAGATAGCAGAGGGAACACTCAGACATGACACTATACAAAGTCCAGAGAAAACAGTACATAGAAGATTCTATTGTTAAGAAAATCATTCCTTACACCACAAAGTATTAGTCCTTCGTTATCTAAATTCTATTAATCTGCATTGGAAATGCCTACCAAGTTCATTCAGGCAAAATATGACGGCATTCATGAAGTTAGCCAACATATATACATATATTTTAATACAACATGAAGCTTATAGTAATTCCTATTCCTGCACTCCATTATTGTCTCTTTAAAAATATGCAAATTCACTTCTTTTAAGTAATTTGTTTTCCAATGACTCATCAGTAATCATGTTTTGGAATAAATGATGAAACCTGCCTTGAGATTTCAGACTTACTAAACTGACTACAAATTTCATTCCATTAATTTTGAAAACACATTTAAAATATTGAAATATGATTTTAGATAAAAGAACAGGCTGGTAATAAATGCTGCCTTCAATTTAGTCAAGGAGAATGAGAACATGAAGAAATATGCCACCTAATGATTCAAAAGCATACTGCACTTTGTTTTTGTGTAAAACAAAAGTACCCAAGAGGATTATTTGACTCCACTCTGAATGAACAGATTGCAATTATCTCCTTATGCGACTAGAAATCAATGACACTGGAGAGGGTTGTTTTTCTGATCTCCTCATAGTTCTTGCTCATTGAATTCAAAGTACTGAAATCAGACACGTGGAACTTTTAACCCTATTATTCACAAAATAGAGAACAACAACAAAGCCAAAAATCTCTCACTTCTGAAAGTAGCTATAACATAAAAGTAATCTGTAAACCAAAATCATGAAATGGCTTTTATAGAGGAGGTTATCAGGTGGGAAATCTTATTACTTGCATCAAAGTAAAACAGGGGGTGCGAGACAATATTCCATGGGGTTTTCAAAATTATAGTGTATATGCAAAATTCATTGCCGTTATTTTAAACTTTTGTAAGGGGTGCAAGAATATATCAGAGGCGTTCTAGGGATGCGGGCTATAGAAAAGGTTGGGAGCCGCTGAAGTAAAAGAACACCTCACAAATAATACATATTCGGTAAAAGTAACTGGAGTATAGAGATGTTGCAATTTTGCTATTGAAAAGGCAGTAACTAAGAATGCATGTATTTTTTTTCACTTCCCCTTTGAAAAGTCTCATAACCTTATCTGTAAACTACTGCACATCTTTGTTTGTTATGACTTTGATGGCAATGTGCTTAAATACAAGAATATTCTGTTTTAAATCCAGATTACATCGGTTCAAATATTAGAGTAGTGGTCAGTTTTTAGGAAGGAAATCTTGCAGAACAGAATCACAAACTATTTCCTATAGACTACATAGCATTAATACAGACTATTGACTGCTCTCTTAAGGCAAAAAAGCTCACATATTTTGGGCAAATAATATGAACCAGATAATATCCTGTGCCTAGCAAATTTGAAGCGGGTAGAAGATAAACATAAGGTGGATGTATGAAAACAGATCAGAATAGGATTTGTCTATGTAGTCACAAGGATCTGAATGTGAGTTATGTTACCTAACTAGTTAACACAAAAAAATATAAAACTAGAATTCAACAGACCACAGGTAATGAAAAAGGCTAAAATTTCATGTGTTGTACTTCGTTTTCCCATATGAAGTAATGTTGTTTTTCTGTGTTCCTAGCAAATTAATTGTTCTGGCAACTTTCTTTTCCAGAAACATCAACTATATTGTATATCCACTGGGATGCACATGAGCGCATACCCTTGAGCATGCATGCCTTGGCAGTAGGCAACTCTTACTGAAAAACAACATATAGTAAGCAGTAGTACTACCTAACTCCCACAGGCACATGATTGGAATAGTTTCCACTCTCATTCTCTAAAGAAAAACCCACAAAGGATTTGAGATATGACGCAGCATATAAAATCTCATGGGGAAAAATTCTGAGAACCTTATTTGCTATTTGACAAAGTCATACATTAAAGACTACTTTTGAAAAAGACTAGTATTCCCACAGAGAAATAGTGCAGTGGGAACATTAGCAACAGAAACAACAGAGGAACAGTTAGCTACTCAAAAGCACAAACTCTCCAATCATCTTTGCTTTTTTGTTTCCCCCCACAATTGTTCTTCTCACAATTGCTTCTTCTCTAAAGTACATGATTCAATTGAGATATAAAACTATGGGTTACTTTTGAATTCATTACATTTTTTTAATGTTTTAAGACAACAATCAATGCAAAATCAAGTATATCAACAAATAGAAATATATAATAGTGTTTGCAACCCCTGTAAGTGGTGACTGTTCAATAAGTTTTGTATTCAGTTTTGTATTGGAATTAATGATCTCAGTTTGAATCCAAGGCAAACCATTCAATAACCAGAAGTACAGGCAGGATTTCGAAGAGGCAGAGGAACTAGAGATCAAATTGCCAACATATGCTGGATCATGGAGAAAGCTAGAGAGTTCCAGAAAAACATCTACTTCTGCTTCATTGACTATGCTAAAGCCTTTGATTGTGTGGATCACACAAAGAGATGGGAGTACCAGACCATCTTATTTGTCTCTTCAGAAACCTATATGCAGGGTCAAGAAGCAACAGTGAGAACTGGACACGGAACCACTGATTGGTTCAAAATTGGGAAAGGAGTCCGGCAAGGCTGTATACTGTCGCCCTGCCTATTTAACTTATATGCAGAGCACATCATGAAAAAGGCAGGGCTAGATGAATTAAAAGTTGGAATTAAGGTTGCTGGGAGAAATATCAACAACCTAAGATATGCAGATGATACCACTCTAATGGCAGAAAGTGAAGACGAACTAAAGAGCCTCTTCATGTGGGTGAAGAAGGAGAATGCAAAAGTTGGCTTGAAACTCAACATTAAGAAAACCAAAATCATGGCATCCGGCCCTCTCAATTCCTGGCAAATAGATGGGGAAGAAATGGAGGTAGTGACGCTTGCTCCTGGGGAGGAAAGCTATGGCAAATATAGACAGCATACTAAAAAGCAGAGACATCACCCTGCCAACAAAAGTGCTTATAGTCAAGGCCATGGTTTTCCCAGTTGCAATGTATGCATGTGAAAGTTGGACCATAAGAAAGGCTGAGCGACAAAGAATTGAGGCCTTTGAATTATGGTACTGGAGAAGACTCCTGCGAGTCCCTTGGACTACAAGGCGTTCAAACCGATCAGTCCTAGAAGAGATCAACCCTGACTGCTCTTTAGAAGGCCAGATCCTGAAGTTGAAACTCAAATACTTTGGCCACCTAATGAGAAGGAAGGACTCACTGGAGAAGGGCCTAATGCTGGGAAAGATTGAGGGCAATAGAAGAAAGGGACGACAGAGAATGAGGTGGTTGGATGGAGTCACTGAAGCAGTAGGTGTGAGCTTAAATGGACTCCAGAAGATGGTAGAGGATAGGAAGGCCTGGAGGAACGTTGTCCATGGGGCCGCGATGGGTCGGACACGACTTCGCAATTAACAACAACAAATTGGAATTACTTTAGAATAGCTAAATAAATAAACCCTGCTTTAGAACTAAAACATCCTGAAATATAATGGTTTTAAAAGCACTAACTGACCTATTTTTAGACTGCTATAACCAAAGGAAATAAATCACAGAACTATATTAATATTTGTTTATTGAGGTAGTCATTAGAGATGCAAGGAACCTATAACAAAGAATGAGGGCAAAATAATTGCAACAGATATAAACCATTCATTTACATTCTTATTCCCAAAATAATAATTTATTAAAAAATATTGACTGAATTAGTAACCATCTGTATTTATTCAAGCACTACATTGTATGTACTTTTCAGCTAGCACCTTATAGCATACAGTATCTAGAAAATAATTTTAAAAAATAAATGATTTCTATGTGATTAAACATACTTACCCAGAAAAACAAATCCATCTGCTTCTTTGTCAGTCACTACTATCTTTTTGCTATCCTGGCTTTTTCTGAATAAATTGAACATCTCTTTGCAATGCAAATCTAAGAACAAAAAGTAAAGAAATGGAACATTTTCTGTTTAAGCAAAACAAATTCACATTCTCAGAATTATCAAAATAAATTTTGGAAAGCATTCCATGTGGAAGGGGTAAACTTAAGAGACACAATGAAATAATTACCATTAATTTAAAAAACTACCTAGGCCTTTGTATGTTGAAGCAGGAATAGTCAATTCCCAAGCATTAGTATTTTGCACAATAAAGCAGAATTCCAGCTCCCTAAATTTAACAATAAGAGCTGGAGGTACTCCTTTATGCTGATGATGCAACTATTCTGACTTAAATTTGGATTGTTCTTAGAAGAACCAGACTACTGCATGGAAAAACGGTCGATAGTAAAATATTCAATAATTTAAAAAAGGGTTTTCTGAAAGATACTCAGATGCCCAAACATCAGTAGCAGATTAACAATAATAATTTAAACTAAGTTTTATACTTTAAATATAGGTAGTCCTTGACTTATAACCATTCATTTAGTGATCATTTGAAGTTACAACAGCACTGAAAAAAGTGACTTATGATCATTTTTCACACTTATAACTGTTACAGCATCCACATGATCATGTGATTAAAATTCAGATATTTAGCAACTGGTTCATATTTATGTTGGCTGCAGTGTCCCAATGTCATGTGATCACCTTTTGTGTTCTTCTGACAAGCAAAGTCAATGGGGAAGCCACATTCACTTAACAACTCTGTTATTATTTGTTTATTCTTTCATTCAATAGCTGCCCAACTCACCAAGTGGCCTTTTGGGGGGGGAGGTTACAATTCTAAAATTATAAAACAATTTCAATAACATTAAAATAGACACATCAACAAAATAAATAAATACAAACAGCAGCCATTATAATCAATCAACTAATAATAAAGCTAAGTAACAGGGCTTTAACCCATCCTGAACCTCAGACTGATATCTAACCAAATTTTTAAAGCTTTACGTAAAGCCCACAGGATTGGGGCCATTCTAATCTCTGAGGGGAGAATATTCTATAAGGCAGAAAAAGCCATTCTTCTAGTTCCCACCAGTTAACACTCTTTGGCTGGAGCATGCCCTGTTGGATTGAATTTACCAGGTAGAAACTCTTGCAAAAAAGACGGTCTTTCAGGCAACCTGGTACTGACCCATGTAGGACTTTAAAGGTGAAACCAGCACCTTGAATTGCATTCAGAAACACTCTGGCAGCCAGTGCAGTTCATGGAGTACTGTAGTTACATGTGGTGTGTAAATGCCATCATTTATTTCACATGCAGCAGTTTTTTACATCATTTGAAGTTTCCAAATTGTCTTTAAGGGTAGCTCTATGGTAACTGACTACAAAAAAGTTCTTATTTATCTGTCCTTTAACACACATACTTTCTTAGCAATTTAGTTTTCATTTTATTCACACAGTTTTATAATTAAGTGAATTATTTTGTCATTTTTATTAGATAAGATAAGATTGCCTTTATTGTCATTTTTTTTACTGAGGGCACAACGGCACACATCAAAAATGAAATTTAGTTGCCCGCTCTCAAAGTGAAACACATACATGACACACACCTAAACATACTATGTACAACATATGTATAGACCCACACCCCTACATATACATAACAAATAAATATAAAATACTGTCCATCTTGAATATATAACGGAAGGAGGAAGCTTGAGAGTTCACAAGGTTAATGCTGTATGGAATGAAACTAATTACTGCTTCATTTCTCAAACTACAAGGGATTAGCAGATGGGAAGAGGCTACTTGGAAGTGATATTGTTAAACATCTTGGTTGCCTCCATATTCCAGACACACCTAACAAAACTGATTCTAGACTAAAGCATTTCTGAAGGGCTGCCAAGAAGCCTCCTAAATCCATCACAAATTTCGGCAAGCAATGTTAATGCTTGTCACAAAAAAGTGATTTCTCCATGATAGTGATAGAAAAATTCCATGTAACCAAAATGACCACACATCTCCTTTGAGATGAACACTGGATCTAAAGAGAGTAACAAGTTGGACCAGTCATGATTTGGTTCAAACCCATGCTTGCATGACAGCCATGAACTGCTAAACCACTGTTCCCCAGTCGTTCTGGCTTTGCAGACTGGCCGGGAGGGATAGGGGATGGGTCTATGTGAGTGGCAGGTACACACGCAGCTTCATTTGCATGAGCAGCTGGCATGCATGTCTGCCACTTCTGCAAATGGACCATGTGCATGCCTTCTCACCTGCTGCTCATGCAAGTGGGGATGCGCACATGCGTACATGCTTGCCTACCATTTTCGCAGCCCGGTTCCAAATGGCCCAAGGCCCACTAGTGGGATGTGGCCTAGGGATTGGAGACCCCTGTCCTAAACCACTTCTAATACCAGAGAGAGGAGGTTGAAAATATTCTGTAGCAGGTCAGACAAGTCCCCAATCATATCTGCAGTAAGATCAAGTTTTTTTAGTGAGCCACCTTGCAGCTAGAAGAATGGTACAAATAGTAAGGATTCCCATGCTGTCTCTTTACCCCAATTATTATAAGCAAGGTCTCCCATTTGGTCACCTACAAAACAGGCCTTTTCACAACACTAGTGTCTCCCAGTAAACAATTGCCATCTAATTTCCCCTATCTTAAAGATAGTTGTTACATTTCCCATACCACTCAAGGGCTAATTATATATTCCTTCTTATCCAAGACAACCTCTGGTTAGTCACAAGTTCTATAGCCTAGCTCCTTCCAAAAAAAATAATAGAATGCATTTAAAAAAACATTTTGTACAATAGCTATGACAGAAACAGGTCAATACACCCAAGAAAAAAGCACTTTCCAGGAACAGAAAGAATGGTGTTTAAATTTGGGGCTACCTAGCCACAAAATTAAACCAAATTTTGTAGGATTGAATGAACTTATAGGAGTTGCCAAAGTGTTCTAGCGCCACTGTAAGCTGCAAATGAGACACAGCTTGTAGCTATAGCAACAAGCCTAACCGTTGCCAACACAAAAGGACCAGTTCATAAACAGCTCTATACTCTAAATAAGACTGAAGGAACTAATTTGATGTACGGGTTAAGGGACAAACTGGAAAGAGATTCTGATCCAGTCACTCTTTCTCAATCCTAGTAAGAGGCAGTAGCAAAACTGAAAATATTGCTAAGAAAACTGCACACACACACACACGAATACAACGTCCGAAGAAGGTTCCTAAATCAAGCTTGTGCATGACAGATATTCTCGCTAATCATGCAAATAAAATCTGTCAGAATTGCCTCATGAATTCCGAACCAACTCATGAGCACATCTGAACCCTTCGCCCGTCAAAATACTTTAAACGTCAAAACCACCAAATTAACGTATCATGCCCCATATAATAATTGAGGGTATCACGCAATTAGTGTCCGGCGAGTTTCATTTTTCCAGCTTCCCCTCTCAGCACAGCCGAATCCAACTATAATATTAATCCTATTCTGCTCCATCAAACACCCACCTCTTTCAGATACCTTCACCACAACAATCTTCACTTCCGGTTCACTAAGGACGCAACCTGGAATAAGTCTTCATTGCACGTTGACACGTTGCGCCTGCGCATTACTCTTTTGCCGACATTCCTCGTTGCCCGCAAATCACGTGTCTAGCGGGGGGGGTTGCAGCTCTGGAACTGTATTGGAGGTGGGAGGAAGGTTCGATCTTCCACGTGCCTTTAGTTGCTGTGGCGATACGCTCGCGCTCTAGCACGAGAGCGGAAGTCAAGTTTCCCGCCAAGGCAAAAAGCTGAGGAGTTAATCAGGATTTCGTTCTGAAATGGCCGATATATTAGAGGGTCCCCGCGTTCGTGTCAGCGCAAGTCAACTGTCGCAATACGTTGGAAAGCTTGTCTGTTTCGTGGGACGCCTTGAAAAGGTAATAGGAAATAGTTGTAGTTGATGTTAGCGCCACTAAGTTAGATCTTTCTTGATCTGGGAAATGGTAGGTAGATGCCAGCACTTTATTTCAAATAGGGGAATCATCTATAATCCCGATTATTATTCTTGGCAGGGATGATATATGAAATATTTACTATGAGGTATGCCCTTATCTTTGTTAAGTTTGTATGTATATTGAAGTATTCCTATTTAGAGTAATCTTGCTCTAGAAACCAAGGATTGTAATTTTGAAGGTATTATACTGGCGCTTTAAATCAGTGGCTTGTGTAATATTTTATTAAATTTAGATTTGTTGGGCTTCTCTTCCTCCCTATGTTATTTAAGTTATAGGGCCTTTGGGGCTTATGTTATTTACTGAGTTGAAGATGGCTCTTTGGGGAAGAATACATAATTTAGCTGGATAACAATTGTGGACTAGGATGATTTTTTTTCAATATTTTATTAATTTTTATAGTCACAAATCCTTAATATTTTATCAGCAACATATTGTCTGGGTTTCAATATTTAGCTTACTAATACATGTTAAACTCCTTTTTCTTTACCTCGTTTTTCTAGCCATTGATAAAATGTATCCCATGTTCTAAAGTATTCTGAATCTTCTTTCATTTTCAGTGTCAGTCTGTCCATTTCTGCACAGTCTAAAATAGTGATAAAGAACCTTTTAGAGACCAAGTGCCCAAAAACTGGCCCCACCTCCGCCCCCACCAGGTCCCTTATCCCATCTGCCCAAAGGCCACTCACTGCCTCCAGGGCCCACTGCAGATCGCCCAGGCAGCCCAGCAACACCATGGCAGCCACGCCCTCTGCCCACGCCCTGCAGCATCAACTGTGCAGGATGGGGCATGAGGGCAGAGCCTTATCTACGCTGTCTGGCTGCCATGTCCTTGGTACGCTTGGGGGCAACTCTCCTCCAAGGGGGCTGCTGGTGAGGAGGGGGTCGTGGGGGGAGGCAGGGCTGGGGCAACGGCACATGTGCCCACAGAGAGGGATCTGAGTGCCGCCTCTGGCACGCGTGCCATAGGTTCGCCACCACTGGTCTAAAATTTTCTTAATTATTTCTTCCTCCGCTGGTAATCCTTCATATATCCAATGTTGAGCAAATACAATTCTCATTGCAGTTAACACATGTAACATTAGATATACACATTCATTCTCATAATTTCCTACAATTATACTTGACAAAAATAATTATGGCTTAAAATCTATGTGTTTTAGTCATTTTCTCTAACCAACTTCCTGAAAGTGAGGACAATCAACCAGTGGAACAGCTTACCCCCAGAAATCGTGGACGCTCCATCACTGGAAATTTTTAAGAAGAGACTAGATAGTCACCTGTCTGAGATGGTATAGGTTCTCCTGCTTGAGCATGGGGCTGGACTAGAAGACCTCCAAAGTCTATTCTATTTCTATTCCTATTCCTATTGTTTCTATTCTATTCTTATATGTATTCTTGACCAAAATCTTTTGGCTTTAGGGCATGTCCACCAAAGATGTGCCTGGTTTTTGTCTACATTTCCAACAATTACTAGACATATTTTTAAGCATTTTCGCTAACCTCACAGGTGTTAAGTGCCATCTAAAACATTTTATATAGGTTTTCTTTGTAAGCCATCGCCTTTGTTATTTTAGAATTTCTTTCCCAAGGGCTTTACCAGTTTTCTAACTCTATGTTATGCCCAAAGTTTTTTGCACATATTGTTTCTTTAACTTGTTCCTCTTCCATCTTTAAATTTAACATATACAGTTTCTTAATCAATTTTTCATCTGATGTCAATAATATCTGATCAAATTCTGTCTGTTCTTTGTAAAATCCTGATGTTTTAACATCTTTTTCATATTTCGTTTGAATTTGCAGGTGTGGCTACCATGATAGATCAGTGTCCTGTTCTTCCAGTTCTTGTCTGGTTTTTAGTTTTCCTTCAGTATTCAAAATGTCTTTATAAGTCATAATTTTCTCATAGTTAATTAACTTTGGGTGAACAAACGCTTCCATTGTTGAAAGCCATTCATATAAATTTTCGCTTTTACTTTTTCCCATTCTAGAAGCAGTGCGTTTCTTATACCATAAGAAGGCATGCTATCCGAGTTGTAGGTCATGCCCCCTCTAGGTATAGTAATCTTTTATGTCTAAGAGTTATCCATTCTTTTAACCAAGTTAATACAGATGCTTGATAATATAAGGCCCAATCTGGCAGCCCAAATCCTCCATTTACTTTCGCTTCTTACAGCATTTTCAATCTAATTTTAGCTTTTTTTCCTTGCCATATAAATTTCAAAATGAATGTATTTAATTCATCAAAAAAAAAAATCCCCAGTTTTATAGGTATTGTTTGAAATAAAAAGAGTAGTTTTGATAAATATTCATCTTCACTGTTGCTATTCTCCCTAACATTGAAACTTGTGGATTTTTCCATTTTTCCAAGTCTAATTTTATTTGTTTTAGTAATTTTACGTAGTTATCTTCTTTTATTGTTGCACATCTTGCTATTAAATATATCCCCAAGTATTTGACTTTCTTAATTATTTGAAGGTCTGTTTTTTCTGACAGTTGATTTTTTTGTTTATCTGTAAGGTTTTTAGTTATCACTTTGGTCTTTTCTCTATTTATTTTCAGTTCTGCCACTTCTCCAAATTCTTCTATCTTTTTCATAACTTGAGGCTTGTCTCAAGTGGTTCTTCTAATACAAAGACCAAGTCATCTGTGAATGCTTGTAGTTTATATTTTTCATCTTTTATCTCCAATCCTTTAATTTCTGAGTCTTGCCTAATATTTCTATTCAGTACTAATAATGGAAAATGGACATCCTTGTCTTGTGCCTTTTTGATAATAAAATTTTCTGTAAAGTCTCCATTTACGATTATTTTAGCTCTTTGTCTATGATAAATTGTTTTAATAATTTTTATAAAGTTTTCTCCAAAATCCATTTCATTTAATTGTTGAATCATAAATTGCCAATTTACGTTATCAAAAAGCCTTCTGTGCATCTAGGAATATTAGCGCCATCTGCTTCCTGGATGCATTTCATAATATTCCAAAATATCTAAGATCATTCTTATGTTATTTTTTATTTGTCTCTTAGGTAAAAATCCATTTTGGTCTGTATGTATAAATTCAGTCAAGAATTTCTTTAATCTTTTTGCCATTGAAGCAAAAATTCTATAGTCCACATGTAATAGAGATATTGGTCTATAATTCTTTATCTGTGTCAAGTCTAAATCTCCTGTAGGTATTAAAGTAAAGTTGGCTTCTATCCCCTTTTTGCTATTTTAGCCTCTAAAAGTACTTCACACAGTTCTTTCATTAGTGGGCTTAATGTATCTTGCAGACATTTATAAAACTCTGTAGGTAGCCCATCTGGACCCGGAGTCTTGTCATTTTTTTAACTTTTTATTGCCTCTTTTACCTCCATCATTGGTATTTTTTCATTTAGCCTGTTTTGTATGTTCTCTGGAATTTTTGGTAACTCAACTTTTTTATATATTGCTTTATTTTTTTTGAGAAGTTTCTTCTGTGTCATAAAGTGTCTCATAAAAGTCTTTAATTATTTTTTTAGTTAATGTCATTTTGGAACTGTAAATCGCCTTTTGAGTCTTGCAGTTTATTTATCAATTTTTTCTCTTTCTTTTTTCAATTTATATGCTAACCACCTACCTGGTTTGTTAGCATTTTCAAATAAATTTTGTTTTGCCCTTTTAATTTGCTGGGCCATTTTTTCAGCCTCAGCTAAGTTTAATTTATGTTTTATTATTTCCATTTGCTTTTTAAGTGTTTTCTTTTGTGGATATCTTAGTAGTTCTAATTCTAATTTCATAAATTCCTCCTTTAACTTCATTTGTTGTTGCTTTTTTTCTTTGTTCTTTTTTGTCATGTAAGACTAGTATGATTTTTTTTAAATTAATTTGCAAGCTGCTTAGACTATCTGAATAGTTGACATACAAATATTTGAAAAGAATAAATCTTATTGATGCTGCTGCCAGCACATAATCACATGAATTGGATCAAAAGTAATCAGTATAGCCCACCCATTTTCTTTAAGAAGTGCCTGATATCCCATTTTTTGCACAATAATACTGAAAATACTCTTTGATATAATTTGCCCTTTTAGCAGTGGCTAAGGAAATATTAATAGATATGGCTTGGCTTCTGCTGGTACTCAATGTTGGGAAGAGTTTATTTTCAGCCATTTTTAAAGCATTTTTTTCTTAGAGAACTGATATGGAGTATCACTCATCTTTCTAGGGTTAGATGTTCCCATAACACAGCAACTCCCAACCTTTTCTATACCTTGCACCTCTAGAATGCTTCTGATATATTCTCGCATCCCTTAGAAAAGTTCAAAATAACGAATTATGCATATACACTATAATTTTGAAACTTAAGGCGAATTGATAAAAAGACTATTTTTGCTATGGAAGACGGAAATTTTTTGAAGCAAGTAAGAGATGGTGCCAAAGGACACATTAAAAGGATATATAATGTTTTACTGGAGTTGGACTCAGAAACTGATTTAGTTAAAGATTGTATGATTAAATGGGCTCAAAATATAGGAGAAGCAATACCTATGGACACTTGGGAGTTNTATGTCTCGTATTTATGTGAATTATGAATCCAAGTGTTGGAGATGTGGACATCCAGATGCAACTTTTTTTCATATGTGGTGGACTTGTAGGGTTATTAAGGCTTTTTGGATACAACTGTGGTGGAACTTACAGCAAATTTTTAAAAAAAGGATTATATTTCTCCCACAGTTGTTCCTTCTAGGTATTGTGCAAGACCTAGACGTAAAAGAAACAAATCTGATGCTTTATTGTTTAACTGCTGCTCGTTTGTTGATAGCCCAGAATTGGGAGAGTCCAATTTTGCCTACAATGGGAGACTGGAGATTGAAAGTTTCCTATCTTGCTGAAATGGCAAAGATTTCGGCTTTTTTGAAAAGCCACTCGAATGAACAATTTTTATCAATATGGAGAAGATGGGTTGTTTATATTCAAAAGAAACATGGTGTGGTAGAATATAATTTAGGTTTCTAGATTTTTTTTGTATTTTAATTGTGGAAATATAATGTGGTAGAATAGAATTTAGGTTTTTTTTTAGATTTTTCTTTATTATGATTTTGTTTATTTTTTTTATTTTCTTGTGTATTAAGATATATTGCGGAGTTAGAGATATTAGTATATGTTTACTTTTATATGAATATTATCCTGGGATTTGGTTTGGGAAGTCGGGGGGGGTGGGGGGCTTATAATTCCTATTGTGTTTACTTATGTTTAATTGTTTTTTATTGTAAAACAATAAAACTTTTTTTGGAAAAAAAATTTTTTTTGAAACTTATAAACCCAGGTTTTCACACCCGCTGGAATATCGTCTCACACCCCTGTGTGATCTTAATCTTTTGCCCCTGGCAGGTTTCAATATCATTATGATGTAGCTTTAGAGAGGTTACATTATAATTATATTTATAACTGTTATAAAAAAGATTGGAAACTATTTCTTTTAGCACCTCTATTTTTTTCTCTTATTTTTTTCCTTTGTCTCCTATATTTTTCTCTTTTTTAGTTTGTATTAGTCTTATTCTTATGTTTAATCTTTTCAGTAAAATTATACATACAGATAGTCCTCAACTTTACGACCAGCTGCATAACTACTTATGGAGTACTTATGACCTAGATTCAGAATTCTGACAGTCAGCCCCACCCAGCAATCATATGATCGCACTTCAGACATTTGGTAACAGGGCTGCATTTATGGCTATTTGCAGTGTCCCATGGTCCTCTGACTGCATTTTGCAACAGTTTTGCTGAAAACCAGCATTTACTTCCAGTTTGGGGCAAAACTGCACCTATAGTGAAGGATTAGTTTGCTTAACAACTGCAATGATTCACTTAGTAACTGCCACCAAAAAAATCCATGACTGGATTTTACAACCATCAAAAGTTACAACCAAAATGATTTGGCTCTATTTTCATAACTCAAGGACTACCTGCATATAAAAAGGAAAGGTGCTATTAGACTTCTGATTCTAACACTTACAGTGTTAACCTTTTTCTTTGTGTGAACATTATCTTTGTCTCTGTATAAAATATTACTACTGATTATTATTTGGTAGATCCATCAATCTGGGAAATTCTTCTTTCTATCTGATGGAGAAGGAAAAAATGCAGCAATTGAGCTAAATACACCTGTAAGTATGAATATACATTAAATGGCCTTGTAATTTATTACAAGTTATCATTTTTATTGGCTTGGGAAGTTTTCATTTGAATGACCATATTATGTTATGATGCACCAATGTCAGGTTATGAAAAGTTTATCCTGAAACAAACTCCTATCATTCTAATGTTGCTGTAGTATCAACAAGGATCTCCTTAAAACATGTCTTGATATCTGTTTGTGTCCCATTCTCCTAGCACTATCATTTCTTCTCATATGATTTTATTGGGATGCTATATGCCTCTCTTTCTTGTCATCCACACTAAATGATATAGGACTCAATTACATTTTATTCTAACAGAAGCAAAGCACAGGTTCAGGTGTTGTAATTTAAATGACAATAAGAGGAGAAGCAAGCATTGACTAAGCCAAATGCTCTCAAGAAATTAATTTTAAGTTGCAATTTGAGGAAATAGAAATTATTTCTATGAGCAGAAAATACTGAGCGAGATGTTTTCTATTCTACTATGGCCTCTTAAAATCTTTAATACAACCTAAACTTTTTTATTAAAACATTGCTTAATGGTTACTAGAAAGTTTTATTGATGAATTTTAACCATGAAAATACTGAGGGTAAAGACTTCATTTTAGTTTGTTTTCCCCAAATTTCATTGAAATGATTAAAATTCCTGATTTTTGGAGATGCTGACTCTCATCTACTTTGTTAGCTTGAAGAAGAGATTTCTGGCGTTATTGAAGTAGTAGGAAGAGTTACAAATCAACTGAATATCATGTGTTCATCATATATGCAATTCAAAGAAGATAAAAACATGTTTGGTAAGCAAATTATTTTTGTATTTCGTTGTGTCTTTTTCTTACTCTTTAATAAGCTTCTAATTCCTCAAAATCTCTTGCTAATTCTTCTGTAATATACACAATTTTATTACATCAGAATTTAAATCCACATGGAGCCTGTTTCCGCATAATAGTTTTTGTTTCCATGCCTAAGCAGGTGAATACAGAAATATTCACAACAACTTTGCAGCAGCAAACCAGTTCTCAAAATTTCTTAATCTGAAAAATAAATAAAACTATATATCCAGCTGAGCAGGATCCTACTGATGCTTAGCCTAGATTTTCCCGTTTTGATTTTTCATCTATATAGAGATTTATTATGGATATATTTTTATATCTGAAAACTCTTGGATATCCAGTTTAATTTATACATGGATTCAGTCATGATATTAAAAGCAATTCCTTGAAATATTTTGCAACTGGATTAATGTAATACGCTTATCTTTTAAAATAGATGAAAAATATGATTAATATGGCATCATTAGAACATGTGTATTTTCATATAGAACAATACATTCTATTTTAATTTTCTGTCCAATTTCTTTCAGATCTTTCAATGTACAGTGAGGCTGTAAAAGTTATCCATGAGTTTCCTGAGTACTACCCTTTCAGTACTGATGTATGACTGATGCTTATTTTGGTATTTGAGATCCTTTTATAATGTTTATTGAACAAAAGTATAAAGAACATCAGTGAGGAACAACTTTCCTACAAATCTAATTTTCTAATAATTTGCCTATCATATGTCGCAAATGTTTGGATTTCATATTTGTTTTCCTATCAGTGAACTTCACTGGACAGTAACCTATCTTTGATGATAAATCTATGTGCGTGAAAAATACTCAAGTTAAAAGAAGTTTCATTGAGCAGATCACACTTTTACTACAATAAAGGCTCAGCCTGAGTTAAGTATGCCAGGCTTGGAAAGAATGACAAAATTCCTTATCTTCTACATATGAATAACTGTCCAAAAAGAATAACACAATTATGGAAATGTATACATGATATTTGTTTATTGAAGCCTGAAATACTTCAACTATTTTTGATATGCTAATGAGGAATGTTACCTGATTTGATTTACTCTATGTCTAGCCAACAATTAAGCTTTTGTGTAATGTGTTACAATCTGTTTTGAGGTAGTGTCATTTTCATCTTTAATAAACTCTTTAAACATTTGCTCTTTAAGCAAATTCATTCTAAATTTATTTTACTTGAGGGTGGGTAAAATCTTGCTGTATAGAAGCACAACAGTTGAATTAAAAATTAAAGGAGAAAAATTTTTCACTGAAAGATGTTGTAATTAACAGTTATAAATAAAATAATTCAAATTTAAAAAAATCAGTTGGTTAGACCCTTAAAATGTCTAAGCAAAATGAGAAAGAGTGTGTGAGTTTCAAATTATCTTGTATTGTTTCTCAGTATGATTGTATATATGTTTTATGGTACAGCAGAATAAGGCAGTAACATAAAACCAACTTTTTACTTTTATATAATAATATATACTAGCTATTTCTATAACAACAAACCTGTCTAATCAGCAAAACCCAAAATCAAAGTTTCGTTTTTTCCACCTCAAGCACAAAGTTCAAATGCAGTTTCTAAGTAGAAACAAAATTGTGTTCTTTTCTCTAACTAAAGCAGTCAATTTTGCCATCTCTACTAATTCCATCAACTTTTGCAGCCATTGGTTCAGTGTGGGAATAAAAGTATCCTTCAATTTTTGTGCATAAAGTATTCTTACTGCTGTCAACATATATAACATCAAAGTTCCATTTTTTTCCAAGTTCTTTATCCATAAAGAAGTAAAGGGTAAAGGAGTCCCTGCAGATTTACTCCACTAGTCTTTACCAACTCTAGGGATGGTGCTCATCTCCATTTCAAGGCCAGCTAGCCAGCACTCCCCCAAAATGTTTTCCCTGTCATGTGGCCAATACGATGTCATGCAGTGCTATTACCTTCCCCCTGAAGTGGTATCTATTAATTTCGTATTTGCATGCTTTCAAATTGCTTTGTTTGCAGGAGCTGGACAAGGACGGGATATGTTCTCCCATTGCCTGCTGAATCATGTAATATTTAACATACTCTTTCTCCAATTTTAATTACAATTTATACACATTAGCAAAAATATGTTCATTGTTTCATACAATAGGATTTCCAATTCATTTTTCACAAATTCAAATCCATAGCTTTTTAAATCTAATTTAAATCTTTTTATTGTAAACATGCAAACCAATTGCATATTTCTGTTGTATTTCTGGTTATAACTCCTTTAGATCTGATGATAGGGTAACCATAATTGAAAGATATTATTTGACCATAATTCCACCAATTTGGCCTCGCCACCATTTATTTTTGATAAAAAGGCTTCCTAGAATGAACCTTACTTTATATTTATTCCAAACTCTTAGGATGGCACATCTAACAATGTTTGAAATCAATATTTACTTTTAGCCTTACCATACTATAAATAGCTGTGCCATCCAAATCTTAATTCATGGCCCTCCAGCTCAAGCAACCTGTATTTTGGAGAATCACCCACTCTTTTAGCCAAACCAAACAGGCATCAAAATACAATTTCAAATCATAAATCCAAAGCTCCTCTCCTTAACATCTTGCAATAATTTATATCCAATTTTTGCTTTTTTCCTTTGCCATGTAAACTTAGATATGTCCATTTGCTATTGCTTAAATGGAATATCATTTATAAGTATTGGTAGAGTCTGAAACAGAAAAAGCATCATTAGTAAGATATTCATGTTAATTACAGATTCCAACCAATAATGGATAGAATTTATCACATCTTAATTAGGCTTTTTTTAATATCCCAAAAAGGCACCAAGTTATTTTGAAACAATTTAGTATTTGTATTTGTCAATATAATCCCCAGGTATTTCAACTTTTTCTCCACCTTAAAAAACAACTTTTTAGCTAATATTTCATAACCCCGGGAGGTCATATTCTTAACAAGTATTGTTTTCTGTTTATTTTAAATCCAGCTAAAGCTCCAAACTCATTTAGTTTCTTCATCAAATATTCTATACTGCTTTTTGGGCCTTGCAAAAATGTAACTAAATTGTCAGCAAAGGCTCTCAATTTATAAACTTGATTTATTATATTTATACCTGTTATTTTCTTATATTGCCTAATATCCCTAATATTCAAAACTTCCAAGACCAATATAAAGAGCAAGGAAGATAAGGGACATCTTTGTCTCATACCCTTTTGAACATGGTTTAGTTAACTGTCCATTAATAATAATCAAATAATAAAAACAAAGTCAGAAGTCAATACTTTTCTTTTTCTTTCCCCCTTATCCTGCACTTTTTTCCTCTTCCCCTTTTCCTCCTTTATTTTTCCTTATTTTCATATTTCTTGTACTGCTGTATTTTGATAAAGTAATAAAATATTTGAAACAGTATATGTTTTATATCACTCTGGGGAAAATATAGCCCAATTAAAATGTTATAATTTACCTGTGGTCTAATAGAATACAGCTCAAAAATAGTTCAAATAGTTCAGCCATTGAAACAGTGATAATCCAGAAAAAGGTTTTTCCTTTTGTTACACCCATGTTCTATAAGGAAGAGTATTATTTTGTGCTAAGGCTACCAATAATCTGACTTGAACTATATAATTAAAAATATGTACCAAAGATTATTTTTTAAAAATAAAACTCCCAATGTAGAAACTGGGAATAATTTATTTATTCTTACTTTCTTCATTTAGCTCAAGTGTACTTCCTCTGCTTTGAGGGATATGCTATTAAAAGCATTATGAAGGGAAACTATCTCTTTCAAATTAAATATCTTTAGGAGGAAATCCTGTCAGGCAATTAATTCCGGTCATTCTATTTACATAAATATTGTTCTTTTAAAGTAAATCTCTTGAATTAAATTTTCACTTAATTCTACACTCTGTCTCCACTCTATATTGCTGGCAATTTACAGTACTATGATTCTTTTGACAGCAATGGTGAGTAAGTCAAAGTGAGATCAGATGCATGTCATCAATCTCAACTGGATGAAATATGTGAGGTGAATTAAATTTAAGTAACAACTAGGTATTGTAGCTTAATGAAGAGATGGCTCAGAAGACACCTAATTACAGTCTTCCAATATCTGAAAGACTGTCACAGGGAAGAGGGTGTCAATTTATTCTCCATAGCACCTGAGGGCAGGACAAGAAGCAATGGGTGGAAGTTCCATTAGAGGGAGATCCAACCTGGAATTAAGGATGAATTTCCTGACAGAATTATTAATCAATGGAACCACTTGCCTCTTGGAGTTATAGGTGCTCCATTGGTGGTTTTCAAGCAAAGATTAGACAACCATTTGTCCAGAATGGCATAATGACTCCTGTCTTGGGCAAGGCCTGTACTAGAAGATCTCCATGATTCATTCAGGTCCTATGAACATTTTGCTCCCTGCATCAGTGATGCAGAAAAGGTTGAAGCTGCTTGTTGAAGTCAGTATGATATCTGCTGCTTCAGCCACTTTGCAGTTCTCTACTGTCCTTAAGAATAGGGATTTTGCTGCTAATCAATTTGTGCTTTTCCTAATCCTGTCCCTTTCTCCCCTGTGAAAAAATGCCCTTCTAGCTGTAGATCTCTCTTAGATCTAGAATAGCAGTCCCTCACTGTGCTTCATAAATGCCTATTGCTTTAGTCCAAAAGTTTATTCCCAATTCATCCATTCAGCCTAAATCAATAGCAGGAACACAACTGATCCTCCCACTGCACTATAAGAATTCAGAAGACAAGTTTGGAATCACATGTGAAACAACACAGAATGCTTGAAAATGTTCTACTTAAAATAGGTTTTGTTTCTAAGCACTGAACGCTTGAAGCAGTTCATATTTGATGTAGGAGTTTTTTAGCCATTTTGTCTGCAGTGAAATTGATAGACTAAAAAGCTTTATGAATAGTAGGTATCATTTCACTCTACATTCAGAAAATGGTTGCTCTCTTAGAAAGCAAATATCATTAGCCACAAATGTTACTATAATTGGTAAATGCAATTGCTTGGTTTGACAAAAATGCAAAACATAACAGACTAATTAGTACCCAGGTGACATTTATTTCTTGAAAGATAATTTCTCTAATTTGAAGAGGAAACATAAATTGAAGATTTGAAACTTTTTAAATACAAGGTTGAGCTATATAATTTGTAAGTATTAAAAAGAAAGTATCAATGCAAAGCTTGTAGTATGGGCATATTTCACTTTGGAAATAAAAAGAAACAGAACTGAAATAAAGCTGCTGTTGTATTCAACTTACAATAGCAATTGGCACTCGAATGTTCATTGCTAAGTGATGTGATTGTAAAGTGCAACTTCACCACTTAGTGGTGGCAATTCCTTCAGTCCTGGTTACTGTTAACTAAACCCCATTGTCCTTAGGCTAGGCCAGAGGTAGGCTCAGGAATTCTGGGAGTTGAAGTCCACGAGTCATAAAAGAGCCAAGGTTGCCTACCCCTGGGCTAGGCAAATTCCTGCTGGCTTCCCACAACCAAGTCAGTGGGGAAGCCAGCAGAAAGTTGCAAGTCCCAGGTGGCTCACGAACAGGCCAGTAGCAGGAAAGTGGCTGCCAGGGAGGGACATGAGAATGTAAGGGAATTATGGTAAGGTTTAGGAAAGGTGCGCAAGGAAGGGCTAGAAACCAGGAGACTGAATTCTAGTCCTACCTTAGATGTGAAAGCTAGCTGGATGACTTTGTGCTTGTCACTCAGCCCAAATTGCCTCACAGGTTTGGTTTTGTGGGAAAATAATAGGATAAAATAACCTTTTTTGTCATTTTTTTTACTGTGGGCACAATGGCACACATCAAAAATGAAATTTAGTTGCCCGCTCTCAAAGTGAAACACATACATGACACACACCTAAACATACTATGAACAACATATGTACAGACCCACATCCCTACATATACGTAGCAAATAAATATTAAATACTGTCCATCTTGAATATATAACAGAAGGAGGAAGCTTGAGAGTTCACAAGGTTAATGCTGTATGGGTTGAAACTATGGCTGAATCTGGATGTTCTGCTACGGATACCACGAAGCCTCCTCCCAGAAGGTAACAAGGAAAACAGGTCGTGAAGAGGATGTGTAGTGTCCCAGATAATCTTGCGGACCCTGCTCAAACAATGCTGTGCTATGTCCTGGATGGGAGGGAGGGAACGGTCAA